ATAAATATGACAGCTGAAGAGTTCAGTGTCACTCATTTTCTTCTTATCTCAATGTTTGTATTATGAAACAATGCATGCTTTAGAGCACAGTTCTATCCAGTGTGAAGTGCATTTGGATAAACAAAAGGAGCAGAACAGCTCACAGTTTTAATTGCAAACTTCCCCATCTTTTTAAATAGCAGAATGCAATGTTGGTAGGCTTAAGTGCTGCACATATTTAATATTTGGGGGAAAAGAATGGTATTTGTTAATTCCTTTCTTTCTTAAAATAAGATGAATATTTTTAATTTGTAGATTAGTATGTGGCTAGAAGGCACTATTTGTTGATAATGCAGAAATTAAGCAATACAGTGAGTGTTTTTAAGATATTTCAAGTACTTCAGTTGCTGTCCTTCTGTGCTATAGGTGACTTGAATAAAGTTTTCAATAGAAGCTAGAAAACATTCTCCTCATTTTTGCAGCTGGTTTAGTTTGTTGTTGGTACTTTGTTCCTTTTATGTCAGCAGTCACTTCAGTCAATTACATGTGGCTTTTGTATCCTTCTAGCACAACTTCTGAAGCATAATACAAGAATAAGGAAAAAAGGGGCAGACCTTGGTGAATTGCAGAGTGCCATTGAATCTATAAAGGAAACACAGGAAGACATTAAGAGGTAATACTAATTGAAATCCTTAAAAATGGTTTAGGCAATACTAATTACATAGCTTTTTTTTTTCCTTGGAGTCTGATATGTCTTTCTGCTTTAGAGCCTTAATGTCTTTATTCTTCTTCCCAAATATTAATTGCTCTTTGATGTTTCATAATTTTCCTCTAAAGCTGCCTTCTATAGGGAGCCCTAACAAAGTAGAAAATGCCAAATTGTCTAGTTTGTTATTTACAGGACATTGTTTTCTGTCTTTCAGAGACATTATGGCTCTACGAAACAGAGTCACTTCTAATTCGCCACCCGTGGACTTCCATTTCTTGCAGTTTAAGCACTATGTCTTCATTTTACTCGTGGTTCTGCTACAGCTTATCATTAATTTCTTGTTCAAATAGAAAGTGCGAACAAGGGCCTTTTGAACTGCAATGATTGAACTGATACTGGGGACCATATTTTAAGCTGGACTTTAAATGATGCAATATTATCCTAAAGAACCATGTAGCGTCAACTTACAGAACTTTGCCTCAGCATTCATGGTTCAGAATCATACTCCTGTCTACCCAGTTGAAGTAAGAATTGTGTAAGTGCCAGCACACTCTTGCTCCTGGTGTGTGCCTCTGTCTCACTGTCATACGACATCAGCCTTGTGTTTATATTACATCATATGCTGTACTGATGAATCTTCACCACAGAATAGACAAAGTTAAAACTTTAGAGGTCAGACCCTGTAGGTAGGATGCAATTCCTGTTATGGTAAATGAGCATACTTCATTAGATAGAAACTTACCAATTTTATAACAAAGGAACTTTTAATGTAGCCAACAGCTTTTGTAAGTGGTGTTGGGTGTTTGGAAGTAAACTTTTGCATAAGGGCAAAAAATACATTATTATACAAAAGTCATGAGTGTTAGGAACCTGGCAAGTAAAAAGCTGAAGTCTTTGGGAAATCTGCAATATAATGTCCTTGATTTGTTTTGGAGGTATGAGATTTTTATCTTGAATTACTATAGGCTTGTACACCAGCTGTTTTATTTTTATAGTTTTGAAACTTCAGATTCTTCATAAAAACATTCCTGCATCTACTGTACAGAGAACATTTTTAACAGTACAGCACCCAGGAGGTACTGTCTTGGCCTACTCCTTCTCATGAATTACAAATGTCAAGGATTTCTGGTATGTTTGTAAGTCTTGATAAATCTACAGCTTTGAATTTACATTTGTGTATGGCCGTGTCAGGGTAAGCAGACAGACTGCTGATGCCGGGACTTTTGCTCATTTCTGAAACAAAATGTGAAGATGCAGAGGTGTGCTTAGTGTGTAGCCTGAGCTCAGCCTCCCAAAAGGCAGTCAGTGTAGAACAGGATTCAGGCACTGTCATGAGTTCACTTCCAGATGAAAGCGTGTGTTTACAAGGGGAAAGTTCAGAAATTGTGGGATGGGTAACACCACACATATCAAAACAAATGCGAGGGAAACCCTATGTGTTTGTTAAATTCATCCTTACTGCAGTATATACTACCTACCAGCGTACATGGATGCACCTACATATTATGCTGTAGCCATACAAATTAATGTGAAGCTTAAGTTTTGATTTAAAACCAGGGTTTCTAACTTTGGGGTTTTTGTTTTTTTATTTAAAGAAATATATGCATGTATAGAACTTGTAAAATCCCAGCAAAAAATATTTATTGCTGGTGTTTATCTGGTGAATTCCTTGGGCCAGTCAAGCATACCAAGTCAAAAAGAGGCTGTAGTATTGTAAAGGTAATCTCAGTAACCCAGATGAGACAACAGGAGGATGAGCAGCACAATGCAAAGGGCAGCCAAGTTAATTTTCAGAGGATCCTCTCAGAAATCAAATCCATTCCTGGGCAGGGGAACAGTTTAAAGGTCACGTTTGGCTTTTTGTCTTGGCTCAGTTATCCCTGTGCCTTGGGCAGACTCAGACTCCCTGACTGTCCAGGGGATCTACCTTTCTGTTCTGCGTACGTCTCACCAGTATTTAGTGGCAATACTGTTTATTCATTGTTTTTCTATCTAGCTTATATATTCCTGTGTCTGACACCTTCACACCTCTTTTACCTTTCCTCTTCTTTGGGCCTCAGCTACATAGAAGTTTATCACATAAGCAGTCAACTTGAGCATATTTCTTACAGCTTCATGTTAGCATGGTTTGTTCTTAAATAATTTTATAGAATGTGGTACCTTAACCAGATTTTTTATCTGTGGACAAGACCAAACCTGGTTGGACTTGTATATTATATCTACAGCTAATGAGGTAAAATTTGTGAATGTACAATGTCCCTTTGTAAACAAAGGGAAAAAAATTACAAATACCTAAGTAAGTCTCTAAATGGAAACTGAAGTTGTTAGCTATGTATAAAATGGCATTAAGAAAGCAGAATATTATGGCATTCACTTAATGTTCTCAGCCTGGAATTTGGCCATTCATTATCACATTCAGATGTCAAAGCTTTGCCTGTCTTAAGATCCATTATAAGCCTTTAAACATATTCTGTACATGAGAGTAACCCAATGAGTGAGATTTGGGCAACAACACCAATCCCCTAAAATAATACTCTGCTAAATTTGTGGTACTGAAACTCTTGACTGATAGTTTTATCTCCCTTGTAAATAGAAATGTCCTTCTGCCCTTTCATGTTGGTTTTTTAATCACTTCCATTCAAGATCAGTAATTAACACAGTCTGCATGTCTAACATGGACTGCATGGTCATAACTGGGTGTTTGGCCCAGCCAGTTGGCTGGCAGCTTGGTGTTGGTCAGTGTCAGACAAAACATATACTCCAAATCTGAAATTCATGCTCAGCTCAAGTAAAGGACTTAAACAGAGCGAGACAAAATGCTTATTATCCTTTTGAACTTATTTTTTTAGAGTTGAGTTCTGTTGTAAAAGTGGTTTTACTGGTGATCTGGAAAGATAAAGGATATGTGATGAAACTTTTTTAAAAGTAAGATTGCAGGGTTCTGCTTGACTGTATGATTAGATAACTTAAATTCTGAAAAGGACAGCGAAAACCTAGTAATTCGTATTTTGCTGGCGTTTGTAAGATGTTCCCTCTTTTGAACAGAACAAAGAAATTTCTTCCCTAATGTTTATAGTACAGCTGGTCACAGGCATGTATGGGGCCTTCTCTTTAGTGCATCACCACTGCCCTGTGTAACCGTGATGTATAGCTGATCTTGAGACTGAACTCTGCATCTTGGATTATACAGTTTGCAGATGTTTGAGGGCTGTGGCCTCCTACTAGTGTTTAAAGGATGAAACAGCACTCGTTTTCACATTGGATTTACAAATCTTGTTTTGTTTGGGTTTTTTTCTTGTACAGGAAATGTTTTCAGAATTTGTTGCCATGTGGTTTGTTTGGGTTTGTTTATTCGTTTGTTTTCACACACACTCTAAGCCTTTAATTTGCCATTTAGGTACGGATTGCCTAGTTGAGTACAGATGACCTAAGCTAAGAAAAAGTAAAATATGCCATGTGAAATGCAACAAGTATCGTTTTCAGCAGTAGATGATGTTTCTTGCATTTCACATGTTGACTTCTTTTAAATAGTTGACATTACTTACTGAGGGTATTATAGCCTGGTTGTCGTGTTCTCCCTTCCCCCTCTTAAATGTCACAGATTGTTTGAAAGTTTGTCCCACAAAATGTAATTATGGTGGTTTCTTCTTTTCGGTTTGTTGTTTGCTGCCCTCCTGTGCCTTTGGCGATTTTATTTTTATCTTTTCTTTTCCTAGACTGGTGTTTATGAAACAGACTTGGGATTCAATGTTTCTTACAGTTTCTTAAATGCTATTACTTTCGGCTGTTACCATTGTTTGTGTAAATAACGTGTAACAAGAATTCTGTACGTCGGTAAGTTTTAATTATTTTTATTTCAAGGGTATCCTCAAGTCACCGAAAATTTAGCAGATATTCAAGTATTGTAAACAGTGCCTTCTCGACGGGTTTCTTGCTATTCTGAGACATGTAAAGATTTGTCAATTTTGTGCCATATGTAACATCTGACCTTTTGTGAGGGCTGTTGTGTTCGAAAACTGATTTTCCCGCTTAGTTAAGTCACCGGGAGGGGGGGAAAAAAATCAACTCTTGAAACATTAAATTATTCCTTCTCCTAATCCGAGAGCGGAGGATTTGGGCGTCGGACACAACGAGGCTGCAGAGCTTTGTGGCAGCGCAGACACAGCCGTTGGGGCTAACAGGCCGCCCCGGCCGCGGGAAGGTCAGCGCTCGGCACTCAGCCCCGCCGGGCCGAGGGGGATGTCCCCGCGCGGCCGCAATAAAGACGTGTCGCTCTGGGCGCTGTTGTGTGTCGGTGCCGTGACGCGC